CTATCTATCTATCTATCTATCTATCTATCTATCTATCTATCTATCTAATCTATCTATCTATCTATCTATCTAATCTATATCTATCTGTCAATCATCCATCTATCATCTGTCTGTCTCTCTATCTTCACACCGTCAAACAGAAAACAGACTTGGAGATCATCTAGTCCAACCCCCCGCCCAAGCAGGAGACCCTACACCATTCCTGACAGATGGCCATTCAGTCTCTCCTGGAAAGCCTCCAGGGATGAAGTTCCCACAACTTCCGAAGGCAACTTCTGTTCCAGGGGTTGATTGTTCTCCCTGTCAGAAAGTTTCTCCTTATTTCCAGGTGGAATCTCTCCTTGTTCAGTTTCCATCCAGTCTTCCTTGTCTGACCTTCAGGTGCTTTGGAGAATAGCTTGACCCCCCTTCCTTCCTCTCCTAACCTCTCAAATTTCGTTCATTTCCCCGCTTCAGCTACCCCGAGGCCAGGACCACCCTTACCGTATCCCTCGAAGCTTGGCTCTGTTGTCGTGCCGGTCAATCAGGTTGTGTAGGATCTCCAAGACCAGCTGCCGCAGTTCGGAGTCCTCCATGAGGGAGGTGGAGAGCAGAGGGTCCAGGAAAGGCGCCGAGAGGACCGAGGCGATGCTCTTGGCGTTGTACCCAGAGGTCACCTGCCGAGGAGGCCCGCAAAAAAAACAAAAAACACGCAAGGTCCCCCATTTGTCCTGCATGGGCACGGCTGGCAGCCGCTTGCATGGGGCCAAAGCAGGGGTCTCCAATCTTGGCCCCTTTAAAAAGACTTGTGGGCTTCAACTCCCAGAATTCCTCAGCCAGCAAAGCAGAGAATTGGAATAAAATGCAGTCAATTTGAGATGGATGTCAAAGACAAGGAAATTAAATTTCGGGGTCCCCCCTGCAATCTACCCCAAACAGTCCTACAAATGCATTTTGCCCATCCAAAGTTTGCTAAAGGGAGACTCAACATTTTTTACTACCTGTTCGGTGGGCGTGGCTTGGTGGGCGTGGCAGGGGAAGGATATACTGCAAAAAAAAACCTTCCCTCCCCACCCCACTGACCTGCTTTCCAGCTCCGTTCTCCTGTGCAGGGCAACCAAAGGACACCCAGCCCATCAGCTGGGACTCCATTGGAATTTCCGCTACCAGTTCTCTAGAACCGGTCAGAACCGGATGAATGCCACCTCTGGGATTCAGGTGTCCCCCTGGGGCATTGCAATCGTCATGAGTCCCTGCCAGTTGCCGAGCATCTGAATTTTGATCTCGTGACGGTGGGGACGCTGCCAAGGTTGCAAGTGTGAAAAACGGCGCCATTGTAACTTTGCACACTAAGTGAGCAGTTATAAGTCAAGGAACTACCTGTACGACAAAGGGATGTTGAACGACAGGGCTTCGTTCACAGGTAAAGGGCCTTTGTCACCCTTGCCTTCCGAAGGCTACCCTAGAAATCATCAGCTGCGCACTGCAAGGTCGGGGGATGCTGGGAGTTGTAGTCGGTGATCAGGAAATCAACGTGATGGTCATCTGCCATCCCTTTGATCCGGCAGAATTGGCACATCGAGCGTGGCCGGATCCTCTAAACAGGCTCTTCAAACCTGGCCCCTTTAAGATGAGTGACTTCAACTCCCAGAATTCCCCAGCCAGCTGAAGTCCGCTTGTCTTAAAGGGGCCACGTGTGGAGATCCCTGATCTAACAGGACAGACGTCAGGTTTCCAATAGACGCCCTCATTAATTCATGAGCCTCGAGCCAAGTTTCAAAAGAAATCCGATCCTTTATTACGTTCCCAAGTGCAGTCGGCTCTGCCCCACGTAATTTACTGCCTACCTATGACCCTGTTTCCCCCGCTTCCTCCCAGGGTGTGTCATCAATCACATTCTCCAACAAAGCATTTTCCCAGGCTGTGGAAAAGTCACCTCTCCCGGCTGGCTCTGGTAACCTGGGATCCAATCTGGAGAAAGGAATACGTGGAATGTGCTTTCTGGTCGTGGTAATTGAGCTCCTCCACCAGTTCTTTCCCCCTTCTACCTATGGCAACTGGAGAGCAGGCCAGGAATGCCTTACGTGTTGACAACTGGAATCCTTGCTGTTAGGGATTAAGGGGGTGTCAACTCCTAACAACATTTCTATGCCTGCTTTGGAGTTGCCATGAACAGAAGGGGGAGATTTGAAAGAGCAACGCAGCAGTTTGACACCGAAAGCGCGCTCCGTTCTCATCTCGCAAAGATTGCAACTTAAGCGCCTGGAAATTCCTGCCATGCAAATCTCTAATTGAAGAACGTGATGGATGACTTTCGGCTAGGAACGTGTTTCGTTGCACGAATTAGGATACACCCAGAGGGGTGGAGGTGAAAACCAGGGTCGAGGGTGACAGTGAATGACGGGATCTCAGAATCAGCTTCACGCAGGTCGTGCCGACATGTCCGCTCCTTATCAATCCTTGGAAGTTTTTTGAAGCTTGGCTCGAGGATCATGATTCAATGAGGGCAACGGACGGCACCCTGACAGGGAGCTGGAAGCCCCTCTGGAGAAGCTGCCCCCCCCAAACTCAGCACCTCATCCCACGCCTCCAATCCCAGAATCCCCTCTTACCATCAGCAACGACCGTAGCAGCATGATTTGAATCCGCCTTGTTCCCAAATCCCTGTGAGA